GTATGCAATTAATTTTGTCTGATTTTCCATGCATTTCCATAGTAAAATTACGTGGTATGCAATTAATTTTGTCTAATTTTTCATGCATTTACATAGTAAAATTATGCATTTCCATAGTAAAATTAAATGCAATTAATTTTGTCTAATTTTCCATGCATTTCCATAGTAAAATTACGTGGTATGCAAATTTTGATTTTCCATGCATTTCCATAGTAAAATTACGTGGTATGCAATTAATTTTGTCTGATTTTCCATGCATTTTAATTTTGCCTGATTTTCCATGCATTTCCATAGTAAAATTTAATTTTTGTCTGATTTTCCATGCATTTCCATAGTAAAATTACGTGTTATGCAATTAATTTTGGATTTTCCATGCATTTCCATAGTAAAATTACGTGAAATGCAATTAATTTTGTCTGATTTTCCATGCATTTCCATAGTAAAATTACGTGGTATGCAATTAATTTTTGTCTGATTTTCCATGCATTTTTAAAATTACGTTTTATGCATTTTAATTTTGTTAATTTTCCATGCATTTACATAGTAAAATTACGTGGAAATACAATTAATTTTGTCTGATTTTCCATGCATTTCCATAGTAAAATTACGTGGTATGCAATTAATTTTGTCTGATTTTCCATGCATTTCCATAGTAAAATTACGCAGTATGCAATTAATTTTGTCTAATTTTTCACATTTCCATAGTAAAATTACGTTGAATGCAATTAATTTTGTAAAATTTTTCATGCATTTACATAGTAAAATTAAGCGAAATACAATTTTTCCATAGATTAAAATTACGTGGTATGCAATTAATTTTTCCGATTTTAGTCCATAGTAAAATTACGTGGTATGCAATTAATTTTGTCTGATTTTCCATGCATTTCCATAGTAAAATTACGTGGTATGCAATTAATTTTGTACATCCATAGTAAAATTACGTGGTATGCAATTAATTTTGTCCGATTTTCCATGCATTTCATAGTAAAATTTTATGCAATTAATTTTTCTGATTTTCCATGCATTTACATAGTAAAAATTACGTGAAATACAATTAATTTTGTCTAATTTTTACATTTAAATAGTAAAATTACGTTGAATGCAATTAATTTTTGTCTAATTTTTCATGCATTTACATAGTAAAATTAAGCGAAATACAATTAATTTTGTCTGATTTTCCATGCATTTCCATAGTAAAATTACGTGGTATGCAATTAATTTTGTCTGATTTTCCATGCATTTCCATAGTAAAATTACGCAGTATGCAATTAATTTTGTCTAATTTTCCATACATTTAATTAAAATTACGTTGAATGCAATTAATTTTGTCTAATTTTTCATGCATTTACATAGTAAAATTAAGCGAAATACAATTAATTTTGTCTGATTTTCCATGCATTTCCATAGTAAAATTACGTGGTATGCAATTAATTTTGTCTGATTTTCCATGCATTTCCATAGTAAAATTACGCAGTATGCAATTAATTTTGTCTAATTTTCCATACATTTAAATAGTAAAATTACGTTGAATGCAATTAATTTTGTCTAATTTTTCATGCATTTACATAGTAAAATTAAGCGAAATACAATTAATTTTGTCTGATTTTCCATGCATTTCCATAGTAAAATTACGTGGTATGCAATTAATTTTGTCTAATTTTCCATGTATTTACATAGTAAAATTACGTAAAATGCAATTAATTTTGTCTGATTTTCCATGCATTTCCATAGTAAAATTACGTGTTATGCAATTAATTTTGTCTGATTTTCCATGCATTTCCATAGTAAAATTACGTGGTATGCAATTAATTTTGTCTGATTTTCCATGCATTTCCATAGTAAAATTACGTGGTATGCAATTAATTTTGTCTGATTTTCCATGCATTTCCATAGTAAAATTACGTGGTATGCAATTAATTTTGTCTGATTTTCCATGCATTTCCATAGTAAAATTACGTGTTATGCAATAAATTTTGTCTGATTTTCCATGCATTTCCATAGTAAAATTACGTGGTATGCAATTAATTTTGTCCGATTTTCCATGCATTTCCATAGTAAAATTACGTGGTATGCAATTAATTTTGTCTAATTTTCCATGCATTTACATAGTAAAATTACGTAGAATGCAATTAATTTTGTCTGATTTTCCATGCATTTCCATAGTAAAATTACGTGATATGCAAATAATTTTGTCTGATTTTCCATGCATTTCCATAGCAAAATAAAGAATAAAATACCTCGCAGCATTCTCAGTCTGATAAGACATCATATAGTGCTGGATAGTAGACCCATCAGGAAATATCTTCTCTCTATTTCCTTCATCTGATTGCTGCCGCTGAGAAATGATGCTACAACCGTGCCTCGAAGAAGCACATTCCTCGTCGCTGATAGATCCTCTGACGTAGCAATGAAGTCGGATTAGTTGAAGGTAGAAACGACACAAAACATCTTTTTTATGATTATACGGTCAATTAAACGCATCTAGAATCAAGTTATCCCTGGATCTCTCTTTACATCATCGGAAAAATTATAGACATCCTGACAAAGATAGGTATCATGTACATTATTTACATTATTCGGAGTATTGTCCTCATGTTTATCGCCATATTTATCACAACGTTTCGACCGTTGTCCGCTCCGGCCTTCTTCAGGTGTTGGAATGTTGAACTGAAACCTTTATTTTGCTCACAGGGTTAGACTGTTCTAGTTCCATGTGGCACGTTTAATAGATGTCAGTTATCAGTTATCTCCTGTTAATTCCCTTACCCACGTTCTCGACTGCCTTAACCGAGTATTGAACTCACACTCTTTGAGTCTTGTCACTGGATCTAACCAACCCCTTTATCACTTGTGGACATTTGTGTATGAATTTCTGAGTATTATAAACCTAATGACTTAAGTACTCATTTTTTTACCAGTGTTCATATTGCAATTTTTGCTGTTATCATTATGTTTTTACCAGAGCTCATATTCCATTTTTTTTTTTGATTTTATCGTTTTTTGCTGGCACTCTTTATTACTGGTTCCCATATTGTATTCATTTGTATATTTGGTCTGGTCAGGAGATTTTGTGGTCTAACGTATGTGCTGATTCCTTAAGTTTACGAATTCCCAATGGTGTTCTTTGTCTATGATCACAACCTGATTCCACTGAGGGTGGTGATCTCCCTTTTCTCTCTATATGTGATCAGCCACACATGATTTTTCCTGGCACAGATATATTATTCTTCTTCCGAATTTAATATAAGAAAAAATTAATAAATATATACATAAAAACAAACGTACACACGTAATCAATAAAGCTGTAATAACAGAAGAGGGATAATAGTGAGACAAGCTACCATGTGTTGCTAGGTCGTTGAACTACCGATTGACATCTATCGTCTCTTTCTCATACTCTCCATTTCTTCCTAAAAGTTACTATACTACAATCACTGTTTCTCCCCACAGAAACCATCGAGGAAAATTTTTTTCAAAAATTCCTTTGCTGATAGTCTGTGATGTTCAAAGTACTCATATGAATGACGACACGAAACGTAATAGTGTCTGTCTATATTTCTAAGATGAAGTATTATGTACACTATTTACTATGAACACTTTTGTCCGTCAATTGTAAAAATTGACTGAATTAATCGAATATAATTATGAAAGATCTGTTTCGTTTCACTATTTACATTATTCGGACTATTGTCCTCAATTTTCTCATCATATTTATTACAACCTTTCAGCCTTTCAGTATCTGTCTATATGTCTGAGATGAGGTATTATGTACACTATTTATATTATTCGGACTATTGTCCTCATCTTTGTCGCCACATTTATTACAACCTTTCAGCCTTTCAGTATCTGTCTATATGTCTGAGATGAGGTATTATGTACACTATTTATATTATTCGGACTATTGCCCTCATCTTTGTCGCCATATTTATTACAAAGTTTAGGTCTTTCAGTATCTGTCTATATTTCTGAGATGAGGTATTATGTACACTATTTACTATGAACACTTTTTTTCGTCAAGTGTAAAATTGACTGAATTAATCGAATATAATTATGAAAAATCTGTTACGTTTCACTATTTACATTATTCGGAATATTGTACTCATCTTTATCGCCATATTTATAACGTTTCGACCGTTGTCCGTTCCGGCCTTATTCAGGTGTTGGAATGTCGAACTGAAACCTTTTTTTCGTTCACTCGGGTAGACTGTTCTAGTTCCATTTGCCATGTTTAATAGATGTCATTTATCAGTTAATTCCCCTCTCCATGTTCTCCACTGCCTTACGCGGGTTCTGAACTCACACTAAAGGACACATGGCCCAGTGGATAAAGGTGTTAATTAGATCCAGTGACAGGACCAAAAATCCCCGGTTAAGGCAGTGGAGAACTTGGAGAGGGGAATTAACAGATCACTGATAACTGACATTCATTAAAACATGTTATGTGAAACTAAAACAGTCTAGGGTTAAGTTCGACATTCCAACAACCTGAAGAAGTCCGGAGCGTACAAAGGCCGAAACGTTATAATAAATATGGCGATAAAGATGAGGACAACAGTCAGAATAATGTAAATAGTGAACGTAACAGATCTTTTATAATTATATTCGATTAATTCAGTCAATTTTACACTTGACGAAAAAAAAGTGTTCATAGTAAATAGTGTACATAATACCTCATCTCAGAAATATAGACAGATACTGAAAGTCCTAAACTTTGTAATAAATATGGCGACAAAGATGAGGACAATAGTCCGAATAATATAAATAGTGTACATAATACCTCATCTCAGAAATATAGACAACTGATGAAAAAAAAAATATCAGACACGTCCGGAATCAAATTATCCTGATATTTCTGTTCATCATGGCACAGGAAAACGATGCAAATCTTGAGGTTGAATACTGACAGTGGTTGTTTAAACTTTAATAAAACGAAAGAAAAAATAAACTCGTGAAGTCAATTAGTACACCTGCGAGCATAGAGCCTCCTTCCAAATTCCTAAATGAGAAAGCGGCAACGTAGTGACGAGTCGGCGACCAACCGGATGACACCCGTCACCTTCGTTGCGCATCTTTCAAGCCTGAGACGACAGGAAAGTTTTATAAGGTTACACGATCCATTCCGTTAGTTTTTATTATTGACGAAAATAAATTAAGCACGTTATCGTTTCATCCTGGCAAAACGCAATGACAGAAAAACAATAAAGAAGTTCGTATTTTAATCGAGATTAATATGTTGTATTGTGAGAAAAAATAAGACGATGTTAATATTTTTTAAATAATTAACAATCCTGTATTCTTGAAAAATTCATATGAATAACTTACGATTCATATCAATGGATTGCCGAATTCATGATGAAAATCAACATTTCCGAATTAAAAAGAAAAGGTGATTGCTTCAGAATATGACAAACACATTTTAGATTCCTGACTTCGGGGTTATTTGCAATTCATTAATAAACCGTCAGCGATTCAGAAAATTTTTTAAAGATCCCACTTCCCTCTTGTTAAAATATCTTGTAGCAATTCAACAAAATGGTGGCAAAATAAAGGAATCATTTCTTCTTCTTCTTCTTCTTCTTCTTCTTCTTATATTTTTTTTGTCTTATTCGGGCTTTCAAGTCTTAAAATTCTATTTTTTCTTCATCGCTTCTTTCTTTTTTTCCCGCCGTCTACTTTTATTTCCTTCCGTATGCATGTTTCCTCTTGTCTTTTTATATTTTCGACTACTTGAAGTGTTTAAAATTTGTTGAATTATTTCGCATCATAAGGTATCGTTTTTATCATGTCTTATTTATTTTCCTTTTTTATATTTTAGGAGTCTTTACTTCTTCTTCTTCTTCTTCTTCTTCTTCTTCGTCTTCTTCTTCTTCTTCTTGCCAATTTTCATATTTCCTTATTCTCCTCTTTCTAAATACTTCTACTTTATTCTTCTGCTTCTTCGTGCCAATTTCGTATTTGCTTACTCTCATTTTTCTTGATGTCTTCTTCTTCTACTTCTTCTTCTTCCGCTTTTTTCTTCTTCTTCTTCACCCTCCCCTCCTCTTCTTGCCAATTCCCTTACTCTCTTCTTTCTACGTTTCCTTTTCCTCCCATTTCTTTTCTTCTTCTTTCAAATTTCGTATTCCTTACTCTCCTCTCTCTAAGCGCCTCTTTCGTATTTTCATTACTCTCCTTCTACATGTTTCTTCTTCTTCTTCTTCTTGCTAATTTTCGTATTTACCTTACTCTCCTCTTTCTACATGCTTCTTCTTCAATCTTTTTTTTTCTACTTCTTGCCACTTTACTATTTTTCAGTACTCTCTTTTCTAAATGTTTTTCTTGTCAATTTCTTATTTCCTTACTCTCCTCTTTCTATATATATCTTCTTTTACTACGTCTTTTTTTCTTCTATTTCTTCTTCTTCTTCTTGCCACTTTAGTATTTTCTGTACTCTCCTATTTTACATATTTTCTTGCCAATTTCATATTTTCCTTATTCTTTTCTTTCTACATGTATCTTCTTCTTCTTCTTCTTCTTCTTCTTCTTCTTCTTCTTCTTCACAATTTCCTTACTCTCCTCTTTCTGTATATTTCCTTTCCTTCCACTTTCTCTTCTTGCCAATTTCGTATTTTCGATACTTACATCATTCCTCTTCCTCCTCCTTCTACTTGCCACTTCTTTTTTTTCTTCTTGCCATTTTCATATTTTCATTACTCTTCTCCCTCTACACGTTTTTTCTTCTTTTTCTTCTTCTTCTTCGTCTTCTTCTTCTTCTTGCCAATTTCATATTTTCCTTACCCCTCTCATTCACCTTCCCTCTTCTTCTACTTCCCACTTAACTACTTCTTTTTCTCTTTCCTCTTATTGCCAGTTTTGATATTTTCTTACTCTCCTCTTTCTACATGCTTCTTCTTCACAAATTCCTTACTCTCCTCTTTCCATATATTTCCTTTCCTTCCACCTTCTCTTCTTCTTGCCAATTTCGTATTTTCCTTCCTTGCCTCATTCACCTCCCTTCTTTTTCTACTTGCCACTTAACTTCTTCTTTTTGTCTCTTGCGTCTTTTTCCTTTTGTTATTTTTCCTTTTTTTCTACTCTTTCTTTTTCTAATTCCTTCACGTCTTAAACCTTTTGGCAATCATTTTTCCCTGTTCATTTACACATTCTCATTTTCTCCTTGGATTTTTCCTCTTTTATTTTTTATCAAAATATCTGCAAGTACCGATGCTTTTTTTTAGAATTTCCTTTTTTTTCTTTCCGTCGGTTTCATCCGATCAAAAAAATGAAGTGTCATTTGCAAAATTTGCCTTTGGATAAAGAAGGTAATGTGAATGGGAAAACAGACATTTAAAGATTACCCGAATGGAAATTCCATAATTTTTAATGATTCCATGCATTGAGAGCTACAGTTTGTGGTCCATTTTAAGTCGTCTCTATCATAAAAATAACGTACGACAATCATTGTAAATGGCAAAGGCTAATCGATCGTGATTTATTGTTTGAGATCTTTTCAGATATTATAAAACATATCTTCCCGGGAAACATTCCAAACTCCCGCACTTACCTGTTGATGATCATTAAGGTCTAATAAGCTGTTTTATTTCTATTTCTCACGAACATAAAATTGTTGACGCTATACATTCAAAGAATTTTATTAGGAAAACCTCTTCTTACCTATACGAAGAGGAATTATTTTACTTCGTTAAATAAATTTTAGATACATTATAGATATTTTGTAAAGCCAAAAGAGAGCAAGAGTTGAGTTCATGAAACTTTATTCCGCTTAGAATAATTGATCTGCGTAGTGACTATTTATAATCCTACATAAATGAAAGAGGTCTCCGAAGGGAGATAATCATAAAAGGAGGGAGATTACTCCGAATTACTTTATCACTCGGCAACACACACACGCACACACACACACACACACACACACACACACACACACATATATATATATATATATATATATATATATATATATATATATATATATATATATATATATATATATATATATATATATATATATATAGGAAGAGGTTATAGTAGTTCCAACAAGAAAAAAGTGTGTATATTAAAAAGAAGAGAGAAGCCGGAAACGTTTTTGGTTGTAATGTGGCTTTTTTTAAAAAAGATATTATGATTTCTTTTCCATAATTTTACTACACGAGTTTCTGGTCACGCGACCATCATCAGGTAAAGGGTGGGGAACTGCAGTCAAGAAAGAAATTCGGGTTAATAAAACAAAAAAGGGAATGTCTCATATCGGGAATTTTTAACATCGAAAAACATAAAGTAGAAAAATTAATTATTTTTAATAATATATGGAAATCTCTACCACCTACCTGATGATATATATATATATATATATATATATATATATATATATATATATATATACCCAAGTATAGGATTGGTGTATAAATTCCAATAACAAACAAATACTATTCTTAAAAGAGTGCTCAATACAGTGTACAGCAAATATAATCATATTTTCGAGAATTATAACACAAAAATGTTATGAAATCACTACAAAAATAGCCATTTTGTTTTAACACTTCTGATTACTTTTCAAGTGATGGTGTTGAATGTAGAATAACGGGTTTATTCTACATTCATTATTTCTCATTATGTACCCCCCAAAAAACTTACAACTCTCTCTTTTTCATCTTAAGCGAATTCCATTTTCTCTAAAACTTCGTCGTTGCTCACATGTTCGGTTCATGATATTCTCAGCATCCTTCTGTGGAGCGACATTTCTGTTGCCTCAAGCCGCTGCTTATCATCCTGATGATTGTCCAGCATTCTCTGTCATATTCGAGGACTGATATTACATAACATTTCAGTACTCTTTTCTTTGTTTCTAACAATTTTTTCTTAATACTTTGCTTAGATTTTGGAAGGAATCTTTTGCTATCCTAGTTCAGTACTTATCTCTTTTGATAATGAAGTAGACAATCGGATTTTTCATTTCTTTTATTTATTTTGTTAATTGTTTGTTTGTTTTCTTTTTAAGAATACTATTTCATTGAAAATACAGTCAATGACACTTTTCCCGGTTCGCGTCCTGGTATGACGATAAACTACATCTAGCAGCAATGCCCCTGATTTTGAGGATTCCTGAACCGCCTCTTACTGCCTTGTGCAAAGTAACTGCAACAACCGATTTAGTTTCCATTCTTTCACATTTCGGTAAGTTTTAAACCCAGATTCGGTCACTTGCAGTGATATGCAGTTATATGAATTTATTTTCCGGGTATATGATGGAATTTGTTTGGCCTTAAAAAATAGATTTTTATCACGTCCAGATACTATTGTCTCGATTGTTGATTAGTTGTCTTACTGACATTGTCTCTCCTGGGCGTTAATCTAAGGAAGCGTACGAAAATTGTAACGTTGCACGAACACACTGGCAAGCCTTACCGGTGAACAAATCAAAGTAGTAAAAACTATCACGGAAACTCTCCTGATTTAAATCCAATTGAGAACCTGTGGTCAATCTGGAAGTAACGACTTCGTGGAATGGACATATGGAGTACTAAAATGTGTACTGGGTCATGCTTCATTGGAAAATATGAAAAAAAAGTAAATAATAACGGAATTATTTGTTTTGTTTTAATTAAATTGCACAAGGGTGTAATTTTTGTTGTTCCTAGGTTCACCCTTACCCGGGGTTTTAGTAGCTGTTAGTGCCCCAACTATGGGTAAATAGTTAACTCCCAAACTGGTGTCAAAACACTATGAACGTATAAAGTATATATTTTTATACTTGCAATACCAGGGAATTATGTCCATAGTGAAAAATTACCAGCATGACATTTTTGTAAGAGAAATTCTTGGAATGGACATACGAAGTACTAACACGTGTACTAGAACATTTTTCATTAGAAAATTACTAAACAAATGTAGATAATAACGGAATTATTCATCTAGGGAAGGTTACAGCATAATCAAACAAAGGTTGGTAATGATTGATAATACTTAGGACAAGAACAACACATATAAGATTCGCCAGCGGCGCGTAAAAGAAGTAGTCAACTGCTAGAAATGAGTCAAGTGAATTCCACAATGAATGTACAAAAGCAGACTAACGCATACAGTATTCACTACTGTATTTATAGGAATGGCAGCATACCCATTATCATCCGTAGGTATGCTACAACAGTTTTATTTCAATTAATTTGCACAAAGGTGTAATTTCGTTTGTTTCCATGTTCACCCAGGCCCTGGCTTTTAGAATGCGTTAGTGTCCCAACTGTTGGACAAAAGTGAACCCTCAAACTGATGTTAAAAAAAATATGAAGTAAAAATATACACTTTTATAGTTAAAGTACAAGGAAATTATTTTCATAGTGAAAAAATTAATAGCATGACATTTTTGTAAGAGAAATTACTAATGCTCATAAGAAAATTAAATTTCGGGATTGTATAGATATATCATTTTTATATTATTATATTTTATATTAATATGAGTTTGGAAAACCATTGTTTTTATTCGTACATTTTCTTTAAGATTTCAGTTTTACAAAGCAACAGTGGACGAGAAATATCACTTCTTAGTGTTCGAATCAGAAAAAAGTAATTTTAATATTAATTAACAATGCTGTCATTAACAAGGGGTTTTAAAATATGTTTCCTTACTTCCGCAACCTTTAAAGAATTAAGTTTAATTACATAAGTCGTCCAGGGATTTTGTTTTTCGCACCAAGTCTGAAAACGAACAAATTGGATCCCGGATTTTATGGAAGATGTCCAGACAAATTCTGAACATAGGCAAATCGCCAGTGTCCACTGTTATAAATGACCCCAACGTCATCACATCCACGCCAGATAAGGTAACCCCTCTCCGTCTCGATTTTTGCCTCTAACTCAACGTTAGATGACATGGGCAATCTTCTTCACGACTTCCCCATGTTCACTGAACACAATCTCAATAGCATTTTTATTACAGCCCGGAATGTCTCAAGATTTATCAAATTTTTGACCTTGGGAAAGCGCTGGTACAAACAAAATTCAAGTGATTGTCCTTGTCATGGGACCTTACCCATAATAACATAATGGACTATTCCATACGTAATAAATACTGCGCCTCAAGAGGAAGCAGCGAGTTCAGTTCAGTCATTTTGTACATATTCATTTGGTAATCTTTTTAAAAGTTGTTGTTTTATCCCCCTCCCCACACGAACAATATCTGTACATAAGGGGACTAGTTAGGATTTCATAGAGAATTTGTGGTATTATGGTGGACGTAGTAAGAAAGGTATGAGTGAATGCGTTGTTTTGGTGATTGGAACACTGTTGGTATGTTTGGGTCCGTGTCTGTGACTAGCTAAGTTTAGAATTAAGACAGAAGAAGACCGTCTTTCCTCCACCCACTTTTAAGCCTTGTGCCACATTTTATACATTGTATAAATAAATATCGTTCAGTTCAGTCTGAAGTATGGAGTGAAGTCCGTCAGAAGTCTGTCAGTCAGTCAGATCGATTCAGTCAGTCGAGTCAGAGGCAGTCCGAAACAGAGTTGCGTTCAGACAATTACTACTAAAGCTGATTGTTCGTGCTAACACTTTTTCTATCTCTCTGTATATATTCCTGTTTGTAATATATCTGTGTTATTCCATATTCCATATCCGTATTCGAGTTCTTCTTTATTGGTTCTATCTTGGACTAACGCCGTGGTACAAGGGACCGGACCATAACATTCCTCAAGTGTATTAACACGGGATTATCCCTAATCTTAGCGAAATTATTTAGCCATTGCTTGAAAAGAATTCCTTCCCAAGTTTGTGGAAAGTGTCAAGAGTATGCCCAGTTTTCAAAAAAGGCGGCTGAGCTTTTGTCGTATCCTGACACACTAAAAGAACACAACAAAAAAAAAAAAACAAAACAAAAAAACAATTCAACTTCCAGGATCCGCGACTGTTGTGTAACTGATCCATCATAAAAAAAAGCCAGTTCCAGCAGCCATAGCCGGCTCATGGCTCCGGCCATCATCATCAGCAGCAGTTCGATCCATCAGCAGCCTCAGTTCCAATTC